AAGTGTTGGCACATACCCCCTCTCACCTCCCCTCTCTACCTGTCCCTACAACCTTCCCCTCATCCATCAGCGAGTCGCACGCATTCGCAATTGGACCAGCCGTTACGTATCCGCCGTGGTGTACCATTCCCCCTTCCCCGCTACTTACACACGCGTGTGCCAAGCTGGCTTTTGTGTGTGTTCAGCCGCTTTTAGCTCACAAATACACACTTATACACACATAGGATCCCCTGCTATGGCTGCTGCAAAGGACTATTATAACTTTGTCGTGCCAGAAGCCAAGCCAAAGTAATATACTTTAGCACATGGAGTGTCCAGAAAACAAAGTTCCGCCTCTGCCAGGCGCCCACAAGGGGAGTGGGAGTGGTGGTGGTGCAGGGGGGAGGGGGCATATCAAAGAGTTTTATTTTAGTTGCTTGTCAGGGATTTAATTAAGTGCAGCTATGCCATAAATATTAAGTGCAAGAAGAATGCACCAGCAATTTTCGCAAATTTCATTTCATATTTTCACCCGCATTGTTGGTTACTCGCATGGCGAATCTCAGGTAAGCCTTGTTTCACTGAGCGATAAGAACAGATAAGATATATGTTTTGAAAAATATATTAATAAGTCAGTCTGTCAGTAACTAAGTCTTTTAAATGCTTGGAAAATTGTAAGAATAAATAGAGAGTGGAGTCCTTAAGCTATACTTTTAAATTTAATTTAAATCGCTGGATAAGAGCGTAGTTTTGTATAAAAATAGTTTCAGTTTCCCAGCGAGTAAATAAAATTACTTTCCGCAGTCTAAAGTTCACAAAAAATGAGAAATCTGGCTACCCTCAACCATAACCTTTACTTATATTACATTTTCCAATTTTTCACATATAGAAAAAGGGTATTCCCGTATATATACTGCAAATTGCAGCCATGTGTTCATTTTTGGACCCCTGCCAATGGCTAAGCCATGACAAAGTGGCAATTCGTTGAGGTCCTGATGCCAATATTTGCCACATTGTTAAAAACCGTAGCTGCACATAAACAAATGGAACACGACGTGGACAGGCGGCCTTTGCCATTCCCATTCCCTTTGTTGCGTCAATTTGCAGGATATTGGCACAAGTCCAGTTCCCCCATATATATGTATATATGTACATATTCGTATGTATGTGTATTAATTACAATATTTTTGGGGGTAACGCGTGTGTAATGGCCCGGCCAACTGTGCTCAGGGGTGCGTGTAATTGTTATCTGGAATGGTAATTCGCCATTTGTAATTGAATTTAGCTGCCTGAATTTATGGCCTAGCAATTAAAAACCGATTTGATGGCCACCTAAAAATAGTACTTGAAATATATTTAACTAAAATATATTTAAATATTTTATATTGAGCTTAAAGCTAGGACACCCAAACAGACGACTGCCAGATAAACTTCACAAAGCCAAAGTATTTGCGCAAGTTTCGGTTATTGTTATGACAACACCGGCGGCTCCTGGAGAAACTCTAATCCTTGGAGCCATTCAGGTACAAAACTGAGTTCGAACTGGTTATAAATACTTGTGTATGTAGTTTCTGACGGGTTTTCGGCTGCTATTTAAGGGGGCTGTGTGGGTGTGTCTATGACGACAATATCGGTTATTGAAATATGCAAGCGACAAAGTTTCCTCTATGCAAACTGCTGCCAGACTGTCTTTGGGCCAGAAACTTTGCCCACAATAACTGCCATAGTACGTAGTAATAGCTACTGCCAGTGGCTGGCTGGCTTTGTTCTTCGTGTTTGCTCCCGGATTGGCACTCCGGGATTAGCTGTCCGGGCATGATGTCGTGCGAATTGTCCCCGGCTATATCCGACTTATGCCAGAGCCAGAGCCAGAGTTCTGGGCAATAACGATAATGCAGCGGAAGCCGATTATTTTGGAGGTTCGTTGGTCGGGGATAGCGGAGTCTGGCAAGTGTTATGTAATTAGAGTCTGGCCGGGAAGCCAAGGGAGGCCAGCTGCTGCCGCATTTCAGTGTCCATTCTTCGCTTATCTGAGCTCTTGAGTTTGTCACAAGCAATTGTTTGACTTTACTTGACTTGACCAGGCCCAGACACACACAGACACAGACTGGCACATAACCAGGCTAACACAATGGCCGGAAAAGCCAAAAACTGGAACAAAGAGCAGTAGCCAGTAGGACACTGCAGAAAATATGTGGTCCTACTATGAAAGAGAAAGACTTGACAACTAGAAAATTATGTATACCCTTAAAGAAGGTCCCGGAGAAAGTAAATTTAGTATGGATGATGATTTTACCAAATGGAAAATATGTTAAATGTAATAAACCTAAGGCTTATAATTCAAAAGTGAAGAAGTATTCCCACTTCTATTGCTTATTTTTTCCAAGTGCAGAGGACACAACACTCACTGGCATCAGCATTTGACGCCATTTGTTTTACTTCGCTGACCACAAATAACCATGGCCTGCTGTTGTGGCCAGCTTGCTGCCCCATTTTGTGGCCCAAACATTTTCCAGTAGCCGTAGTGGCTCTTGGGGTAGAGAGACTGGGTCCGTTCAGTACATTCCAGTCCACTCGCCCACTGTCCCGACATTGAGTTATGTTGTGCATATGAGCCCCAAGGAAATGCAGTCCCAGCAGGAGCAGGAGCAGGAGCAGGAGGAGGAGGAGGAGCTGGAGGAGGAGCAGGGGCAGTGGGCAGTAATGGCATCGGCGACATAGCAGTGACAAGGACTCAAGTCGAGTGCAGCTGCTGCGATTGTGGAATTTGAGGTCCTTTTTCGCGCAGAATTCTCACGTTTCAGCGCGCTGTCATCGTTGCTTAGTTCCCTTCACACTTCAAATAACTTTAAAATGGTTATGTTTTGTATAAATTTTAAATGGAATTTTGAGTAATTAAATACTAACCGTGGAACGGCTTGACTTTGTGCAAATATTTGATTCAAGCTAAAACCAATTAAATTTAATTTGTTAAAACAACCAGGACAGGACAAAGGCCATTCGATAATGTCCCTGGTTCTGTGGACTTAAATGACCGCCGGCAGGTAATTGGATGCCAGGCGAGAGGAGCCTCTATTAGCGCCACTAAAAAAGGGTGACAGCCACCAGGAGCAGCGACCATCATCATTCCCAGACCCATTCACAAACCCAATCCCAAACCTATTCCCATTCCCATTCCCATTCTCATTCAGCATTTCATTATCATGGCAGGCAAATTTGCCGGGCAGCTAAATGGCGGCCAAGTGGCAAGTGGAAAGTGGCAGGACGAAGGATTAAGCGCTGAACCAGCTGCAAGTGGAAGTGGAACACGACGCCTGAAAGCAATGGTCCTCCTGCAGCAGATCCTGCTCCTGCTCCTGCTCCCGAACCCTCTTCCGGCTCCTGGTGGCCATCTAATTTTCAGCTCCTTGTCGCAGCGCCACAACAATCAAGTGGCATGATTGCTAAGCAGCATAATGCCATTTATTGCCACAACAAGCCCCAGAGTCGCGGCTAGCCAGGTTGCCCTAACCAAACGCAGAGTTTTTCCACGAGTTGTTCACACTGGCGGAAAAACAAAGCCAAGTTTAGCTGGAAAACGCATTTATAAATTATCTCCAGAAGTTAAATTAAAAGATTTAAATTGTAATTCCCATAATAAATAATACCTAAAAGAGATTTATACAGGAACAAATACTATCAAAAAAAAAACACTTGATTTTCCGCAAGGACTCCTGCAAATGTTTGGTTAAAACAGAAGCCAAACCGACAGCACTGGCTTCGTGGCTGAAACTCCTTTTTCCTTGGCGAAACTTTGCCCGCATTCGCATTCATGGGCTCGCACAATATGCTAAGCGTCCTGCCAACGTCCTGGCAAGGGAGCTGGAAGCCAGGAGCTAGGAGCTAGGAGCATGGAGCTTGGAGCCAATGCAATCATAATTTTAACTACTTTAGTTTTATTCCACCCCCAGCCAGGCAGCCAGGAGCAGCAGCAGCAGGAGCAGCTCCTGCACTTAGTTCTATTATCCTGACGCTTTGTTCGCGCCAACGACGACGGCGCCTCGTCCTTTGGCTCCCACCCTTCCTGGCCCTTTTTGCCCAGCTTTTTGTTAATTCCGCGAGGCCACAATAAAAGCCAGTGGCATAGCGAGAGCAACGTAAAAATGAAAATGAAAATATAAATTGCCTTTGTGCACTGCGCGAAATTGCCCGCCGGGTATCGGGGCCAATCAGGAAGCAAGTTGCTCACCAACTGCGCCATCGAATGCTCTCCTCTCTGGCCAAGGACGAATGGCCATGAATAATTATTAGCCAAGCACTGGCACTTTTCCTAAATAATAATGGCAGGGAAAAGTTATGGCCACGGTCCGAAATAGCAATGGCAATATTCCCGCGTTAACGATGTGTCAGCAGGACTAGCTTAAGGATAATAGTTGAAAAGAGCCACCCCACATCCCATCCTACTAATGAGCTATTTAAATTCGATTTAAATAAATATATATATATATATATTGAGAAGCCTTTCAAGGGGTTAGAACTATCCTAGAGCCTGCAGCGACTATATATATTTATTCCTTGCCGGTCGAGGCGAATTTCAATTCGTTTGTGGCCAGCTTTTTGTGGCTTCATTAGCGCCTCTCCCTCTCGCAGTAGGTTCAGGTCAGGGACTTGGGCTCACAGAATGGGAATGGGAATTGGACTCCATCCGACTAGGACTGGGCAAGGGGATTTGATTAACACTAACCACAGTCCGCTGGGGGCCAAATGCAAGCGGCAGGCACAAAGCCAGACCTTTGGGCGGCCAGAGTCTAGCAGCGAGAAGCGCAATCAAGGCGTATGGATTTTAATTAATTTTCGCCGCTGCACTGCAGCATTTTTAATTAAAAAACTTGGACGACGGCGATGGTGATGCCGGGCATGTCCTTGGACGTCTTTGAGCTCTGTTTAGGCCCAGAGTAGCCTTCGATTTGCCAGCTCAATTTTCTAGATAATCTGCCATAGTATATAGTACTACATATACATTTTCTGCTTGGATATTTCAGTGCTGGACTGCCAGGTGGGCGACTGGGGACCCTGGAGCGAATGCGACAAGAGCTGCGGCACTGGCATGATGACCCGCAACCGGCAGATCCTGCAGGCGGCCCAAAATGGTGGCAAGCACTGCCCCACGTTGCAACAAAAGCGAGGATGCCAGGGCTACCGCTGCCATGGACATCGCGACAAGAAAATACTGCGCGGTAAGTCTGCCTTCTATATATATTTAAGCCCAATTTACCGAACTTACTATATAAGTTTCTGAAGTTCATGACTTTGATTACCAGGCGAGTAGAAAAAGTTATAATTCATTATATACATATAACATAAAGTTATATAAATGTATATATACCCATTCAAGTTTGCAATTGAATTATAAGATCGTATTGGAAATGGATCATAGAAAAGCCTTAAATATTCGTATTCTTTGAATCAATACTTATTGATTTTGTATATGACAATTTTATCGACATATCAACATTTTAAAAACCGCATGACTAAGCCAAAAAAGCAATAATTTCAATTCCCGGACATGCCTAGAAAGATTTGCCTGTTGGTACATATATACATATATTCTTCTGAATGATCCAAGGGTATGAAAATATTGCAACAGTTGGGACCAAAGTCAGCTTCAGTTTTGAAACTATCGTAAGGTTAAGAGATCAATATTCATGAATCATGTATAATTAAGTAAGGCTATTAACTTTGAGAAGTCATCCTAAATACAAATTGCTGAATCACTTTTAGTCAAATTAAAAAAAATGGGGTGCATGGCAATAAGTGAATTAATCGGACAATAAATGCATAGCTAGCTTATTCTAGACCTACGCCAAATCCCTCTATTAGCATCTATTTATATACATAATTGTCATGATTAAGACTTACCGCAGTATCTGTGAGATCATCAATTTGAGCCTCTTCTTCATTATCCAAATGAATAGGTAATATTTTCCAGTTCGCAGGGCATTCACTATCACTAGTAATCACGATCACTATCGATGTCAACAGGTGGGGGTCCGCGCACATACTGAGGCCGCGCGCCTTCAGCGCCTCTATTTATAGTCCCAGAGGAGAGAGAAGAGAAACTGTGAGAGCAAGAGGGAAAGAGCTATCTGTAGAGAGTCAGAGAGAGCGAGAGGGAAAGAGCTATCTGTAGAGGGCAGAGGCTGAGGGATGTCGAGTGCGAGAGATCTTTATAGATACAGAGAGAGTGTGTGTGTGCAGAGGGAGGCATGCATTTAACGGTCGTTTCTATGTAAATATATATTAAAAATATTAACTAAATAGTGTTTGAATGAATTTTTTTCGAGTGTCACTGGCATTTGGCATCGTTCTGCAATTTTTGGTAGTCTGCTAATTGCATGTTTTGATTTCGCGCGGTAAAAAATGCGGCAAATAGACGTCGAAGGAAGGAAGAGCCAAACAAAGAATGCAAACTCAAAATATATGTATATATTCTTATATGGGTGATGGAAACACATGGCTGCAGCGCGTGTGTGGTGTGCCACAGAAATAACTATATATTACTGCAGATAAGGGAAACCTATTTTTATTATTATATTTACAAATTTGAATAAATAAAAATATATATCTAGAAAGATTGAGTTAGAAACAGCACAACCTAAATCACGATTAAGTATACGCCCGGTGGGCTTTTGAAATTGTCATTTAAAGCTGAGGAAGCCCTTGGAGAAATATTGAAAAACTCTAGAAATTGCCCTTACTATGTATGAAATTTAATTAAATAAATAAATCCATTCAAAAAGATAAATTTACAAATAGCACAACATTGAACACGATTCAGTATATGTCCCGTGGGCCGCTAAAATTACTATTTCCAATCGTTTAATAAAGCATTTTCCGTTATATTTACAAATTTAAGTAAATAAAAAACTAAATATTTAAAAAGATTGAGTTAGAAATAGCAAAACCTTGATTACGATTAAGTATACGCCACGTGGGCCACAGAAATTAATATATATTACTGGAGTTAAGGGAAACCTTTTTATAAAATTTTATACGAAAATCGTATAATATTTACAAGTTTGAGTAAATAAAAATATATATATCTAGAAATATTGAGTTAGAAATAGCACAACCTAAATCATGATTAAGTATACGCCCTGTGGGCTTCTGAAATTGTCATTTAAAGCTGGGGAAACCCTTGGAGAAATATTGAAAAACTCTAGAAATTGCTCTTACTATGTATTACATGTAATTAAAGAAAAAAATCCATTCAAAAGATAAATTTAGAAGTAGCAGAACATCAAACAAAATTACGTATACGTCCCGTGGCGACAAGAAAGATTATTTAAAACAAGAAAGCTATTCCAGAAATATGAAAAACTGTGGTGCTCATTTAGTCATTATTTTTAAAAAGAAGTTAATACATAAATAGATTTAAAGAGATAGATTAAGAATTACTACAACCTCAAACAGAATTAAGTATACGCCTTGTTGGCCATTGAAATTTTAAAGAAAAGCCGGGAAAAAGCCCATTAGCAGACAATTAAAATGATTTTTTCCAGAAAATGTTCTTTATATATATAGTAATCTAAGAGGAGTTCCAAGGCAAACAGCAAACAAATCGCACACGTAAATTATATCGAGTAAACACAGTGGCAGTGAAATCAAAGGATACCACGAACACCGGACCAAAAAGAAAAAGGGAAATTGGATTGTATTGAGATAATAAATCAAATGAAATTCAGTTACAATGAAGTTATTGTAAAAACATCAGTTCAGTCACTTTGCGAATATATTTAGCGACATTTTTTATGACAATATTTTCGGCAAATCAAAGTTTAAAATTTGCAAAACTCAGCCAAAAAAGCCTTAATTAGTTTTTAATATGTTAATAATTCAACATTATATTGCAAATTTTTTGAAAATTTTATCGATGTAACACCTTAGCTTTTTTTGAAAAAATTGGAAATTTCTCCCGGACATGCATATAAATATTCGCCTGTTGATGCTGATCAAGAATATATATAGTTTATAGGGTCGGAAACGGCTTCGTCATATAGTTACAAGCTTCTGACTGCTTCAAGGGTATAAAAATATTGCAAATGTTGGGACCAAAGTCAGCTTCAGTTTTGAAACTATCGTAAGGGTAAGAGATCAATATTCATGAATAATGTATAACTAAGTAAGGCTATTAACTTTAAGAAGTCATCCTAAATACAAATTGCTGAATCACTTTTAGTTAAGTTAAAATAATAGGGATCATGACAATAAAGGAATTAATTAGGCAATAAATGAGTAACTAACTTATTCTAGACCTACGCCAGATCCCTCTATTAGTATCAATAATTATCATGATTAAGACTTACCGCAGTATCTGTGAGATGTCATCAATTTGAGCCTCTTTCTCATTATCCAGATGTATAGGTAATATTTTCCAGTTTGCAGGGCATTCACTATCACTACTAATCACGATCACTATCGATGTCAACAGGTGGGGGTCCGCGCACATACTGAGGCCGCGCGCCTTCAGCGCCTCTATTTATAGTCCCAGAGAAGAGAGGAGAAACTGTGAGAGCAAGAGGGAAAGAGCTATCTGTAGAGAGTCAGAGAGAGCGAGAGGGAAAAAGCAACCTTTACAAATAGGCAGAAGGAGGTAGCTAAAGAGAGAGGGAGACGGAGGCATGCATTTAACGATCGTTTTTAGGGCAGCTATATGATATAGTCGGCCGATCCTAATAAAATTAATACTGAAATAATAAATTAATACAAAATGGCTTTTTATTAAATAAGATGCAAATACGTTTGTTGGAAACTGGAAAAGTTATAATTTGTTTCGTATACAAATCGTTTCTATGGCAGCTATATGATATAGTCTTTCGATCCGACCTGTTCCGACTTAATTTTTGTTTTTTTTTAAATTGCAATTTTTGAAAATTTTGTTTTCTGTCGGAGATGACTAGAAAGATGCTAAGTTTTATGCTTTTGACTAAAATTAAAATTTAGTTAATGAACCGAGCATAAAATATTTCTTAATTTGCTTAATCTGCAGCTTAAACTGAAATATTATCCTACAAGGTTATGAATAAACCGAAAGAGGGAAGAATTTTAAGCTGGAAAGGAGATCATCTTGGGGTTAAAAGGGGAATTATCCTTAAGAAGGGTCTGGGTTCAGGGATCATACACTCAGAATTCGAAAACCTCCTTTTCCGAATCCTGACTAAAAACTCCCTTCCCAAAGCCCGCTGATGCACTTCATATTCCATTCTCCAATTTTTCCCCATTTTCATGAAGGCTTTGTGACTATTTTCCGAGTAGTGAGCAGCAAGTGGAAACTTTTCCAAAGCATTTTAAAGGCACTGAGCGAAATGAGTTATGAATTGGCATATTTTAGATAAATAAAGGAGTATATAAATATATTTCAATGGGTATAAAGTTGATTTTTGGCTCAGCTTAGGTCAGTTTAGTCCAGCTGAGCTAAGACTGAGCTGGGCTAAGCTGATATTTTCCCTCGGTGCCTTTGGGTTTGGGTTTTGGGATGGCCAAAAAGCCAGCGCAAAAAGCGGATCTACCAAACTCCAAACAAGAAGACCATAGAGGCAGAGACAGAGAGAGTACGTGAAAGAAAGCTCGAGGAGGAGCACAGCTGCCGGAGGTGCAGCAGGAGCAGTAAAAAAAATGTGAACAGAGCCAGGAGCTCAACCCGGCCAACAAACAACAATCCTCCCACCCACTGCTCCGCCAGATCCAAAGCAATTTTCTGCAAGTGGCTGACATAAAAGCCATATTATATTTGGCTAAGTGTCACCGCCGGCTTACAAACACAGACAAAGGACCAGACAGGATGCGGGGAGCGGGGGAGGCGAAACTATTAAAATATCGCTGCGAAAGTTTTTGTTTATGTTTTGGGTCGCCTGCGCTCCATTAGCCTTGGACGTGCCTCCCATGCCAGCCCACTTTTTGTTTGGATTTAGTTCCGCCTTCCATCTTCCATTTTCCATCTTCCGCCTTCCGGTTGCCATTTTTTGCCCATGTGTGTGAGTGCCGGGCTGGGGAGTGTGTGTCTGTGTATGTGTGTCTTTAAGCGTTTAATTAAAACTTTGATTGCTGCCATTAAAATATTATTTAACCGCATAGTGAAGCGGAAAAGAGGAGAAGGAACCTGCCAACTGCAAAGCTGATTGGCAGAAGAAACAGCGGCTTTTTGCCAATATTAATTGGAGCCAAGCGGCGGCAACAA